AAATATTTGAAGGAAATCTTTCTTCATAATAAAACAAAAAAAACCTAGCGTAGAAGTATGATTTTCTTCTTGACAAAAAGGGTACAAAAGCTCTGAAATGTATATTTTATGATAAAATAATGAATGGTGAACTAACAAGACATAAGCAACATTTTGTGGAGTGAATAAAAATGCCAAAAAATTTTCTTATTCTCAACATGTGAAAGATGAAATCAAGTTCATAAACAACAAGAAAGAATTATAAGAGTAGATCAATCACTAACCACATTTTAATGAAGACAATTTTGATGCTTATGATGAATTAATGAAGACAAAAAAAAGTCAATCTTCCACATCTACCACTAAATTGAAAGAGCCTAATGGCCTTTGGAGTTTGGACACATATCTCACTCGTAAGATAGGAGAGTTGTGAAGAAAAGGAAAGGACAAATGCAAAAAGAGATGGAAATTCAAGGAAATGAGAAATAGAGCAATTATAACTTTTGCAAAAACTCCTTTGATGTAATAAAACATGACTACAAGGCAGTGCTGGAGGTTAAAATAATTTGATCGAGAAATTAAAGCTTCAATTAATCAATAGATTCAAAATATTTTATTAAGTAAAGCGACGGAACACAATTTATTCCAACCTCATAGAGAATATTGTACTAAATATGGTTGCACTCTTATGGTTGATAGCAGGCAATCTCGAACAGAGAAAAATCTGGTGATTTTCCAATATATTGTTTGATAGGTGTTATGCTCCAAGAATTTGTTGCAACTAGCTCATGCATATACAAATAATGCCATAAAAAAATGTTTGAGTTGTTAAGAAATTACGTTTATCAACTCAAGCCCCAAAGCGTAATAAAATTCATCACAAAGAATGCCCAAAATAATGTCTTAGTAATCGTTCAAGTTAGTATTTATAACTTTTTCATTTGAATTAAATTATTTTTTATTATATAAAAATGCATATGCTTTCGTCAATGACATTCAATAGTCATTATTATCTTAAATCTTAATACTCTGGAAGTACTTGAATTCACTAGTCTTTACTATCATGATCTTAATACCTGATAGGCAAGCACTTGATGAAATAGTACCTACTTTTCTATTTGATTTTTTGTGCTACACATTGTATATATTTGATAATGGAAGACATTTTTAATATTTGAAAGTTAAGGTGTGTATTTTATAAGGAGGTGAGGCATTAATATCTTTAAGGTTTGAAAATGCGTAATCAAGTATTTAGATGTTCTCTTTTCTTGAGACAAGGCATAACCTCAAAATTAAACCAATAAATTAATTGAAAAACATGAATATAATCAAAATAAAATGTCAAAATAAGATCATAAAAAGCCTAAGTATTATAATTAAAAGCCATCAAGGCTGCATGCAACACTAAATAAGAAGTCTCTTCAACCCCTAATTTAACATAAACAAGCGGTCTAAGATCATAGTTTGTGAATTCAAAAATCTTCCCAACTCGTCACTAAGAGGATCTTTATTGAAATCATCATTGTCCATAATTGCTTTCTCTCCTCCCTCATTTTCAAAGTAGGAAAATGGGATGCTAATAATAAGAGGAGAGACATTGGAGGAGAAGCATCAGTAGAGCAACAACGAAGGAACAAGAGTGAGTGAGGGTGTAAGAGTCCTGCGGCATGTGGCTGAGTTTGAGGCTGTGCAATTCTTCCTAAGCTTGGTTTGGTTTAAATATAGTAAATAAGTTTAATTTTTATGTATAAAATTTATGAATGAAAATTTTAAAACCTAAACCCTAATTTTTGAGGTTTATGCATTTCATAATTCTAAAATTGCATTAGGGCAGGCGTTCAGGTGCACACCTCATCCCCACTGAGGTGTATGCATCATCTAGCAAGCATGATTCAAACACCTCATTGCCTTCTTTAAAAAATACTTTGGTGTCTGCCTTTAAATCATGTATAGCTGAATTCATACACAATTCAAGTTGATTGATCTACTAAGAAGATGCATCAATTAGAGCTCATTGGTTAAATCATTTAAGACACATTTTGCAACAACTTTCTTGATATTGAAGAGATTTCATGTGCAACAATTGAATCTAAACTGAATGCTCACTTGTTAAGTACTTGACTTGAGCACTTACACAAATGAAGCAAAAGCCAAGAAAGCGCATCAAACCATCATGAACTAGTACTTTTGAAACAATGTGCATTCCTTCACTTTGTGGAATGCTCATAAAAAGCCCCAATCAGTTAAATTCATGAGGCAATAGATAGGTCTAAGGAAGCAGTAGCTGAATCATTGAATGGAAAAGAGATGTATCAAAAGGTGCTTGTAATCATTGTAGAGAGGGGTAAAGTTCAACTTCATCGCAGCGCATATAGCCGATCATTTCATAAAACCACAATACTTATTTAGCAACCCACCCATAGCAAATTAATAAAAAACTATCGACAATCCACATACATGCATAAAAAGAATGGCTCATGAAAGAGAGAAGAAAAAAAAAATTAAATGACGAGTTGAGTGCTACAAAAGCAATGAAGGGACTTTAGCACTTTTGTAACTAAAAGATAGAGATCACATGAGCTCTAGGTAAATTAAGTTTAATAAGTAATTAATATCTTCCACATCATTACTTGGATGCTTAGATATTAACTATACAAAATAAAAATGCTTGTAATAGATGCAACCTATGGTTCATTTAATCAAACATTGTGCACTTTTGAATTAAACTGCTTTGCCTAGCAATAGTGCAACTAGGAGTGACATAATTGCAGAACATTTGAACATGTTAGATTTTAATAGTGAATACCAACTTCTTAAATTATTACAAATTAAGATATTATATACCAAAATAGGTATACAAAAAGGCCTTAAAAACATGCACAAATCTTTTACTTTAGGTTAAGTCCTTTGGGAAATTAGTTTTTCCAATTCCTCAAGCTATAACATTAAATTGAAAAACACGTTGCTATCAAAATTCCTGGTAATCTTCTGGTTCATGAAAGAACCAAATACATTAAAATTGATGGTAATTCTATTTGAAAAGCAACATTATTAAAGAATATCAATACAACTTATGTTCCAGTTCATAACATGGCAGTAGATATTTTTATCAAGTTTTCAAGCTATGACACAAGCTAGAGCTTAATTGGAATCTATGCTCCAAATGGATAGTGTATTAGCTTGTTAGAAAGTACAGGATTGAAAATAGCATTATAAGAAAGCTTTAATTATTTCTATGCATAGTACTATCCTTAATTGAGATTATCTTATGCTTTCTTACTTGTATTTTCCCATATGAGGCACGATTCTCTATCAGTAAAATACACACAGTTTTCCCCCATTAATGAATATTAAGGACTAGATTTTTAATTTAGCCTATATGTTTATGAATTTGCAAATTAGTATTTCTCTATTTTGAACAATATATCTTATTTGTTGATTTTAAAAATTGTTAATTGATTATGAGCTACATTTACTCATAAAATGAAACGCATCAAATTTAACATGCTTGTTTAAATCTTGAATGATAACTATGTTTTACATTTGTATATGATTTTGATGTCATTTTAAAAATGGCGCACGTCGCAAATGCTCCATGTGCTATGGCTCCAGCGTTGTTGACACTCTGATTAGGTGGGAAGGAGTGGCACATCATGGTCGAATATTTGACAATGGCATCTGAAATCCTAAGAGCCACTACTCTTTACCACCAATGGTAAGACTAATCTTTATATGCATAAGTTTGATTATATGTAAAAGATCAACTATTTCTTCTATATTTTCTAAAATAAGGCTTTGATTTTGTGAGAAGTTAAATACTACCTTGCAGAAGTCAATTATCCGAAGCAAAAGAATTTTCAAAAGCCATACCTTGACACAAGATAATACTTGACAATTTTTTGCGGGAGGAAGCAGGTCTCTTAGTAGGTGCACATATATTTAAAAAGAGAGATTCTTGTCTGTAGAGTGCCATTGAGCAAAGTTTTGGGGTTTGGAAGAAAATATGGGTTATGACATATCAGGCAAAAATTTTCATTTTAAAACAAAGAATGATTGTTTCTGCAACAATGACATCACATAATTACATGTGCAGAGACCCATCTAGAGAGGATCCTGAATTTCAAAGGAATGATATTGAAGAGAACTACGAACATCCAAAGACATACGCTCATAACATTGGCAACAAATAAAAGAGGAAGAGTACCAAGCACATGGACATGGATACATAGCGGGTTGTTTAAAAGCTGTTAATAGTTTGGAAAAGAATTTAACGTTATTGCAAGCATATCAACGAAATTCTCAATCCACTCTTCTTAAAAAGAGAGCTTTCTCAAAATTTTCAAGAGAAACATGTCAAGAATTTATTTGCTCTCATGTTCTTAATGTACAATGTTTTCCAATGGGTGTACTTCTGTGCATGTTATATTAAAATATGAACACCTGAAGATACACTAAAAGCATTCTGGTGCTTGCTCTTTCATTGTACCTGGTGGATACATAAATTAGTTTCTTTATTTTTGGTTATTGGTGGATTATATCTCTGAAATTTTATGTCAACTATCGCCATATGTTTATGCTATCATATACAGGTTTTTTGTTTGCAACATATGGGGAGATGCTGCCCCGAATCATTTCAAGAAATGAAAACATCAACTTTATAATCCAATATTTGTTATAATTTTTATATTTCTTAAATATTTAAAATTATAGTCAGGTTTCTTTTTTTTATTAAATTTAATATAATAATATTTCTCTAACGATAAATTTTGACCATCTATCACATTTTTTAAGAAATAATGAACGCAATCATTATCTTTTGGGATGGCAAAGCAGGTGCATAACAATTTTACCAATCAAGAAATTTGTTATTTGATTTTGTACAGCATTTGCACCACAGGTGCAACTAAACAGCCTCTGCTACTTGTTTGCATAAAACTTCTCAAACTACTCTATCGAATGCAACAACAAAACCAAACGAACCTTAGATCATTGAGGAGACCAAGAGATGAGCAAATACTTACCTGGATAAAATTTGATCCGACTCCTTTGCATATGAAATGGCAAGAATGGCATGAACCAAGTCATAATTTATGTTAACAATGACTGCCCGAGTAGGATCTGAAAGAGGCTCTGCACCAATAGGGAGAGCTGATCGAGGTGCTTGTGGACCACCAATTCTAAAAACAGATATGTCACCAAAATTCATACTAAGAGAGTAAGGAGACAAATCATTGTTGAGCCCATAGAAATATTCCTGCAAAAAGTTAATTTAGTTAAGGTATAATGCTCCCACAAAAAACAGGTCTTTGTATTAGCTAGATATAAACAATTGTAATCTACCGAGCTCCAAATGTCTGACAAAAACCAACATAACCACACAATAACAACCACAACATCAAGCCTTTGTACCACTACGTGGGGTAGGCTACATGAATCCTTTTTTCGTCATTATGTCCGGTTAAAAGTCAAATTCTCATTTAAATCTAATAAAGAAAGTTCATTTCTAATATTTTATAACCAAGTCTTTTTAGGTCTACCTCTACCTTTCATAACATAAGTCGAATCTAATACCTCAACTTTCCTAACCGGGTCATCGGAAGGCCTCTATTTAATGTGACCAAACCATTTAAGGCAACTCTCTCTAATCTTATCTTCCACTGGAGCTACTCCAACCTTTTCACGTATATGCTCATTTTGTATCCTATATCTAAGGGTCAAGCCACCCATCCACCTAAGCATCCTCATCTCTACAACACTTAACTTAGTATTATGCTTCCCTTTTAATGGCCAACATTCGGCACCATAAAGCATTGCAGGTCTCACCACCATCTTATAAAATTTTCCCTTAAGTTTGAGGGGGACTTTTCTATCGCACAATAAGCCCGATGCAAAAACCAACATAACCATCCTCAAAAAATCAAGATATAGAGAATGGAGATTAAACTAGAGTTTGTATGAAACGCCATCATCCAAATTTTCTTCAATTAGTTGTCGTTTACTGCTATTATTGTCTAATAGTTACCTGTTGTCTTCTTCAAAATTTCATTGAATGCACTGCCAATTTATTACTGAGAGTTGAAGCACATTTTAGAAAAAAATATAACCTTACTTAACTTGATGGATTTCTTTTGGGAGAGAACTTCAAACGTGGGTGATTGGAATCTGTAAATGAAGCTTTTAATGAAAATGGAGCTTTTTACTCTTCCAAAGTTACTAAGATCACTAGGAATCTGTGCATGAAGCTTCAAAAGAAAATGGAGATTTGTACTCTTCGAAAGTAATCGAGACCACTTTCATCTGTAAAAACAGTGAAATGATTGGCTCCTTCATCGTCATGCAGTTGTAGCTATCTTTCATCCTCCAGCTACTAACGCAATTTGGAAGCAATGCTGTTTCTTTTTTCTTTCCCATGATGTGCAGTAAATAAAGGCCATACAAACTTAGTTTTTCGATGTAAATTTAATTTACAGCTTACCAACAAATCCAAAATGCAGTTAAAAGGAGAGGAAGAATAAGCCAAAAGAATTCTAAATGGGCGGTCAAGAAATAGGTTAGCTAGGTGCTTCCAGGGAGTTCTCTTGCATGCCTAAATCGAGTGTGATTAAAACTTCTTCTTATATTCTCGTGTCTCCCAACATCCGAGGAAGAGATGCCTCCCTTTGTGCTCTTGTATCAAGAAAAGAAGAAAAACACCTAATTATCAGGGATAAAAAAAGAACCGTGTGAGTGATTGAGGCATCCAGGTACATGCAAATACTAGGAGATTCTTCCTTTGGAGAAGACTCTCTCACTTGTATATAATCACAGATGGAAGGGAATCTAGACTATTATCTTTGCAATGAGGTGACAAATCTATCCACAGGAGTACTACAACATCCTTATCGAAATATGGGATGAACTTTATTATTATCACTCCTTTCACATCAATCTAATAGCTTTACATAAATATGGGATGAACTTTATCATTGCCAAATTTATCTCTGGCCTTCACTAATTCTTACAATATGTTCAAGCTCAACTAAAGGCAAACTCTGCTATCCCAAACATCACCACTACTCTCTCTAAAGTTTTCTAAGTCATCGAGTTATCTATTTGTCCTTCTTTTGATCCTAATCATATAACTCTTGAGATGGAACAAGGGATGGTCATAGTTATCGAGGATAAGGTGGTCTTAGTGAAGTTTGTAATCATGGTCACAAAATTTTCCCACCACTCCATCACTGACAACGAACAAATCACTCTTCTGACGGTTGTCAGGAGTAATGGGGGTTTTCCTTCTACTGCTCAACATGACTTTGTCCATGTTAATACTGATTCCATTGGCACTTTTTTGAGCTCTATGATCATTTCCCAAAAGGACTTTATGCTTGTTTTTTATTCTCATATTATCTCCTCTTGCTCGACTACAACTACTCATTTAATGACTTGAATTTTAAATTTTGGTACTTTTTCCTATATGACAAATAATTGATAATTATTTTCATTCCTTGTCATGAACGACCTCCCACCTGTTATTGTTGCCAATAGCTTTTCTTCTTCAATCTATACTACTATTATAAAAGGGGCTTGAGTTTCCTTCCTCCAACAAATTTTGTTCATCCATTCTACTTACTTTTTAATATCTTGGCCGTCTATTCTATTAAAAATATTTAATAAATAAAAAAATTCACATTATATAAAACTCATTTAATTTTATGACCCCTTGAGATTCCTAATTTCCATTTTCCTATTTCTATTCTTCACTGCATGTTTTAATAAATAAAAAAAATTCACATTTAATTTTAAAGTCCCTTCAGATTTACTAATTTCCGTTTATTATATTAAACTGACATTTTGCTTTCTCTATTCCTATTCTCTACTTTTGCTACTTTATTTATTATATTAATTCTGCACGTTTTTATTCTCCACCTTTTATTTCTATTCCGTTTCTCTTTTTCCTTTGCTGCAAGTGTAAACCTACCCTAATATCGCGATGCTTCGTCTTCGCCCCGTCTCCATATTCTTCGGCTTGCCCTAGCTTTCCACTCGCCGTCAAGTAGGTTTCTCTCCAAGTAAATCAGTCTTCTGAAATTCTTCAACGTCTTGCTGCCTTTGCTCGCTGTCATCTCCTCCGGTAGGTTTCGTGGCCTCAAAATATTAAATGTTAGTAACTCCCGGCATTTAATCACCCGCTTATTCATTTCGTGTTTTAAACTTCTTAAACGTTTCGGGATCCCTTCTCCAATTAATTTGGATGCATGAAGATGAATTCAACCGTCGAAACGTTGCAACCTCCGACCGTTCGGTGGCTGTAAGATGACTGTCGCATGTTCTCTTTCTCCCTTATATATTATTCTCACATGTTTTTCCTTTAGCTCTTTCGTTTCTGGATCTCCACTTCAACGAACCTGTGAATCTCGACACCATTTTGGCTTCAAATTTAGGTAATTAATTTTATGATGTAAATCATTTATCAAGTTCATCTTTAGAAGTGAATATATTTCTTGATTTGTTTCATAGCCTCAAACGTCTCAATCGAAATCGTTACCTGTTTCAGTTTGTATGTCTTCGTCTTCTTCTTCTTTCTTTCCAACATAAAAGGATCAGGTATTTTATCAATTATGCAATTTTCTATTTAATTAGGTTGGTTGTGGTTTTATGAAACTTGTTTTGTTTATATTTTTTGTTTAATGCTTCTTAATCAATACTATAGATTGCTATTTTTAATGCGAATTTTATACTTTTCCTGGTTTTGAGTTTGAATTTATATTAATATAATTAATTCTTTTTATTGTATTATAATTTTGGGCTAGGTTTTAATTCATTGTGGGTATAGAACTTTGTGAATTTTACACATTGTTGTTTTATTGAAATCTTTTTTTTAATGCTTGTGGAATTTGTGCTATTTATCCTAATATAGGATTTGTAAAGAAAGCCCAAATTATTTTCACCATTGGTTAGCCACATGACTTTAGATCTCTAGATGATCAAGAGGACCAAGAAGAGTAACAAGAAGCCAGTTGATGACTAATATCTTTAAAAACAGGATTAATTATTTATGATTCTGAACGAATATAGTCCATGGCACAACATAGAATGTAAACAATTATTCCCATTGTTGTCAAAAGTTCTATTCATTTGCGCTTTTAAAGTTAAGCAATTTGATGCAAAGTCCCTCGAATCAGCTCCACTATGAAGTGCATCAATGGGTGCACATCGTTGTGCTTCCATTTTTAAATTTTATAGTTTTTCCTTATTGAGTGTATCATTATGAATTTGCTTTTTATCCATTTCAAGTGAAATGTTATTGAATATTTGTATTTGATATTGCCTCTACAGACAAATATTCATGAAACGAGCATTGGATCTTCACTGTGTCTGCTACTAGCTCACAAAAGGAGGAGACCGATAACTATTTTCCAGGTTTGATAGCAAGTCATCAGATAAAATTTTGAATGATGGATTGGTGATATATATTAATTGATCTAGACTGTGCAAAAGCAAATTTACATTGATTATAATTATTTGAATAATAATTTTTTTTTCACCTTAACATTAATAATATAATTAAAATATTTATAATATGAATTTTTATTTTTAAATTTTTAGTCACGTGCATTTAATGCACGGGCATTTTTACTAGTCTATAAAAAAGGCTGTTCATCACTCTCCTTCCTTAACTTTACACAATATTTTTTATATTCATATATTTCTATCAGCTTTTTATCTATTCATTAACTAAAATGTCTTATCAACCATTTATCTATTCATTATCTGACTAGGATTTACAAAATTTCAATAAAATTTAATCCTTGTAGTGTCTTTTAGGATCTTAGCATGAAGAAGACAATTAATGTAGTTGAACTATTATATCTCAGTAATATTATTTTCATTGTCCTATCATTGATTCCCCTTTATCAATGGAACTATCATCCGGGTCATCCTCCTCACAATATGCGATGATTCGTTGGGCATTCTTCATTTCAAAATTTGAATGTAATACCTGTGAATTTTCAAAACATCATCAAGTTTCATTTCCATTGTCTTCCTCTTCAAGTAGTAGTGAACATTTAGACATCCAGGGACCAAGTCCAATGCCTACCCATTGGGTTTTCAGTTTTCCACTCTGTCATTGACCATACTAGGGTTCCTTGGGTTTACAAGTTGAAGTGTCGATTGAAAATCTTGTTTTTATTTAAAATATTCTACCAAGAACTTGAAGTACACTTTTCTATTCAAATTAAATCTCTTTGAACTACTAATTCTCTTGAATAT